GTCTCCTCCCCGGTTCCCCCGGCTGCCCCACCTCGGCCGCGAGCTCTCCGGCGTCCTCCGGAGAGTCGCTCCCGCTCTCTTTCGGCCTCCTCCTGCAGCATTACTGCTTCACAGAAGGAGGAGACCGCCCTCCAGGACTCCTCGCTCTCGAGCATGACCGCTACGATGCTCGAGAGCGAGAAGTCAGTTTCGCCTATTATTTGGACGAGGACACAATGGTGGTAGCGCGCGCTGTCCTCTTTACCGATGCGACACAGGTATGAGCCGAAGCATCCATGGCCCGTGAACACCTGCGTCGCACGGTACGACATCTCGCCACCGGCCCGATCAGCCCATTTGACCAAATGGGGCCGGATGGCCTCGACGACGCGCCTCCCCGATGTATCTCGGGGGTCGCGGGGTCGGACGTCCCACCTCTCCAAAGCGCGTCGCCTGGCCTGGAGTCTCACGGCGGCCTTGACCCTTGGGGTCAACGACACGCCTAGCCGCCTAGCCTCCCGCGTACGCCTGTACACGTGGGCGTACATATCGGCGTAGAGCTCGACGGGCGGCGTCCCCGCCAATAATGTGGCCGCCGTGTGCGACACCGTCCTGTAACCGCGGACAACCCTGATGGCCACCCTCCGAAATACTCGGCGCAGCAGCATCCTGCCGCGCCTTTCGGCCATCAGGGCGTCCGCCCACACCGGTGACCCATAAAAAGCCACCGCCCGGACGGTGTTCGCATATAGGCCATCCGGGCCCCCAAGATTGGGCAAGAGTCGGCTCAGGCTAATAGCCACCGACTCCGCCCTGGGGGCCAAGCGCTCAAAGTGCCCGCCAAAACTCCAAGCCGCGTCCAGGTAGAGACCGAGGTATTTTAATCGGTCCCCCACCCGGACGGAGATGTCACCTACCGTGACATAGGCCTCGGCGGGGGGAGCCCCATGCTTCCCCCTCTTTTTTTTATGCATGAATAGCGCCTCGGTCTTTTGAGGCACTACCTGCAGGCCCATGCCACGGATTGCGCGGACAACACACGCTACCCCG